TCTCTCTCTCTCTCTCTCTCTCTCTCTCTCTCTCTCTCTCTCTCTCTGTGTGTGTGTGTGTGTGTGTGTGTGTTTGTATTCGTTGAATTTCGGATAAGCATTAGAGAATGCGATGATTGGTTGTTTATTGGCCTCATAAAATGTCTATTAGTGGTGACAACTTTACAGAAGCACCTTGGTAATAACATTTGTTGTCATATTGAAAATCCATTTCCTAATGACGATAATAAAGCCATATATTATTCAAAGCGCTTGATCTCCGCCATTTGATTAAATCGATGTAAGCATTTCCCTCATAATAGGTGATATCCATTGCAACGCGTTTGTACACACGTTTCTTGTTATTGTGTGGTCGTTTAAAATGTACATTCGCCAAATTTCAATGAGTAATCATAGTCACTTAACATCCGCTCACCCAAAACAGCAAGCAACCAAACGAAAAGCGAAAATAGAAAGCAAATAGATGGGAAATTGATGTGTTGGTTAATCATTCAGTATTTCTCTAATCTGGTTAAATATTTCAATTCTAATTGATTTAGTTATTTTGCCGTGTGTAATCACCGCATTCCATGGCATTGCATTGCATTGCACTAAATTCAATAGAATGTTGATTTAATTCACGCATAATGTTCAGTGCTCAGAAGAGTCGTTTACCTTCTTCTCCTCGCTCTTGGTCTTATCGTCACATTCATTGCCTCTACAATCCGAAAGAGAGAGAGAGAGAGAGAGAGAGAGAGAGAGAGAGAGAGAAAGAGAGAGAGAGAGAGAGAGAGAGAGAGAGAACGGCCAAGCTCTCATACTGACACAAATGAGTGACATTCTGAATGGGAGATTAACAAAGGCGCGTCGAGAATAATAGTTGTAATTGTAATATTCCAACGACACCAAAACAACAAAAATAGCTGTGAGCATACAGCAGCACAAAGTGGGCTCTGTCTCATATTCAACGGACCATTCGCAATGCGTGCTCGACTCAACGAGACATCAAGGCATATTTTTTTCTTCTTCTTCTGTATTTCTTTCTACGGTGGCTCGTCGAAGAGAAAGAAAGACGAGAGCATGATACATCATCCAACGCATGCGTTTTTATTTGTACCAGTTTCGATGCTATGGCCACATTTAATCCTACAAACTACTGCTTTTGAAGTTTGGTTCCTTTTCTACAAACGCTCTCTTTTGTTCTCTACGCTTTATCTAGCCATTTCGTGTCAAAGTTCCGCAGTTTGTGTTATTTGTGTTTCTATTTTTTTTCCTACATATCGTTCTATTCGCCCGCTTCCATTCTGTTGAGAAATTTAATCTAAACAAAGCCACTGTACCGTTAACGTAACAGACTATGAGTTTAGACATCATAAAGCCGTACAAATATTCCAACATCTCTCAAAATACTCCCGGTAAATTCACATATATTTTTTTTATCATTATTTATGGATACATGTCAAAGGCAACGGCTTCGGTGAGACCATTTGCAACCAGTTGCAAACGGTTTCTGAACGCGACGAAAATATAAACAGACACAAACGAAATCGTTTGGAATCGTCTTGGAAAAATGGGGAAAAAACTGTCATATTTTAGCCGGACATCATAAAAATGAAGCGAATGATTTGTTGCACATTCTATTCAAATGATGTGTGAAAGTGAATTGGCTTCATTCACAGAAGTAAAAGTCGTTGTGGATGAATGAATTTGCTGGCTAAATTTGTGTGAATTAATTTATTTACCTCGATAACGAGGCCTTTTTATTGATCATTAGACATATTACAATACCGCAAATCGCGCAATAAATAATTTCATTGTTAAAAGTGGTTGCGTGTTCCAAAAAGAAGAAGAAGAGCACCAAGATTCTTCAACTTTTGAATCATTTGTGTTTTCTTCATATGTTCTTACTCTGCGAGGAAGAGAGCAAGTGAACGAGTGAGCGACTGAATGCATTTGCTTGGTCTCGGTCTTGGTATACATTTTCGTTAAATGAATTCATTTACATCGGAGTG